AGTGACCCATGTTTGATGTTTATATTTTACCACTTCCAGACCAGCGACTGGCCCGTACGTTTCTTGGCTTTCCTTGATTGTACCGGAGTAACAGTACCGATTTTTAGAGTCACCGGTCAGCTCTCTTGTACAAGCCACTCGCACAAGTAGCAGACTCCGCCACTCTCTCAGGATCTCTCCCATCCCACCTCAAGCGACCAGCTGGAATCGGCTTTAGTGGGCTCTCCTTTTATTGTAAACCAGAAGCGATGACCTGACTTCACTTCCGGTTTACTCTGAAACTTTTGCCGCCATTTTTAAAAATCTGAAAAACTTTCAGAAACACCGATCTTGGTGTTTTGAATGCTTTCAAGTGCAGGGGAGGGATTTGGGGTCTCATAGACCCCAGATCTCTCCATAAAAATACTTGTCACGTGTCTATTGCTGTCACAGGGGATGTTTACATTCCTTGTGACAGCAATAAAAGTGATAAAAAAATCAACAGTATAAAAAAATTAAATAAATTAATTAACAAAAAAAGTGTGGGGAGGAAACTCACGCAGGCACAGGGAGAACATGCAAACTCCAGGCAGGTGGCACCATGGTTGGGATTCAATCTGGTGACCCCAGACGGAAGTGCTAGCTACTTAGCCACTGTCCTGACTATTGCGTTAATCACAGTCATTGGTCTTGGGACATTTTTGCATCTTTTGCTATTATAGAAACGACTAAAATATTTATTGATTAGCGCACTTTAAACGCGTTGGAAGGGAAGTTATGGCTATTTGAAGGGTTGGTGATTAGAATGCTTTCAATTGGATAATACATTCAAAATGTGTAGGGCCACCATTACAAAAACTCTATACTAAAAATGGCACTTTCCTCCAGAAAGAAACGTGGTGGCTTCCATTGCTGAGCTCTGCTTCTAAAAACTGCTCGTTGGTAGGCTGTCATTCTTTTCCCATTGCCGAAACACAATAACTTGAAAAGATAGATACACCAGAAATGGTGTCTCCTCTATTTGGTGGAGCCTTCAGCTTCAGGCATTACGTAGATCTAATGGTAATGGTTGAAGTTTAGTAGGACATATTATTAGCATTACAATTTTCTGGCAAGAAACACACAAGTCTGTGGCCAACCATGGGTGTCTGGATTTTCTTTCTCCTGAGTGTCCCTGCTCTCTCCCTGGGGACACTTTTGACCAACTACATTCTGGTTGAGTTTACAACAATGAAAAGATCTCACATATAACAACGCCACCATCAATCCCAAAGCCACACGCCAAAAGTCCTAGGTGTCACCCTGGACTCAAACCTTTCCTTCCAATCCTCATGTCCAATCACTCACAAATTCATGCATGGCTCCACCTCCGCAACATCTCCAAGATACGTACGTTCCTCACCCCAAACACTGACTAAACAACTCGTTCACTCCCTCATCATCTCACGCCTGGACTACTGCAACTCCCTTCTCACCGGCCCTACCCCAACACACGCTATCCCCCCACTCCAGTCTATCCTGAACTCAGCGGCTTAGACTCATCCACCTCACCAACCGCTCCACTTCTGCCACCCCCCTCTGCCAATCCCTTCACTGGCTCCCGATTGCCCAAGGCAATAAATTCAAATTACTAACTCTGACATACAAAGCCATTCATAACGCTGCCCCCAAACTACCTCACTGACCTGATACCCAAATACCACCCTACCTGTGCCCTTCGCTCCTCACAAGACCTCCTACTCTCTAGTTCCCTGGTCTCCACCTCCCATGCCCGAATGCAGGACTTCTCCAGGACTTCCCCCATCCTCTGGAACTCCCTACCCCAATAGATCAGACTGTCACCTACCTTCCTCACCTTCAGGCGCACCCTGAAAACCCTCCTCTTCAGGGAAGCCTACCCCACCCAGACACACCTAACAGCCGTTCTCCTCCACTCCTCCTACCCCTCCATCCCCCACAGCCACTTCCTTCTGTACCTCTACCCCCCTCCCTCCTAGATTGTGAGCTTGAAACAGCAGGGCCCTCGAAATCCTCTCATGTATTGTATTGTTACTGTATTGTCAGGGATGTACTGTCCTCCCCACTTTAATGTACAGCGCTGAGCAAACCTTTTGGCGCTATATAAACACTGTATAATAATAATTGATGCCCCTGAAGAAGCAAAGCTTACACCTGAGAAACGCGTTGAGAAAGATTTCTATTCCATCACCTCATTAATCAGCTCACAATTTATTCTATATTATGTTTAGGCAACTGACTGGAGAAAAAATGTATGGTTATACTGATAGCCAATGGGTGTTGGATGGGGAAATTCATGCATGAGATGAAACAGATATACAATCTTCATATTCGTACCAAGCCAATAACTCTAGAAATACTGGAGAACCAGAGAAATAGCATTTTTTTAAAGCAGGAATGGCAGCCACATATTTCCCCCAAGACGGGGTTACGTTAAGCGCATAGCAGTAAAACAGATCAATTAGCATGTTGTACGAGTCCTGTATAACTTGGTAATACATTCCTAGACAAGTGTGTTACAAGCCGCTAGTCACAGGTTTCAGTGTGGACAGGGTCCAAATTTTCGTTGTCCCTGCATTTAGGCTTTCTTTCAGAATCTTCTACATGCCCTATAGATAATAAAATGAAGCGTATAAGTATAAAAAAAAAATTAAAAAAGACAAATCAGACACAAAAAAATTTGTAGCGCCCCCCCCCCCCCCCCCGGCAGTTTGCTCAGCCAGTTCCGGTGCCACAGCCTATTGTAAAGTTTGCAGCAAGATATGTTGGAAATCTCTCCCATTGCTCTGGTTTAGTCTTCTTGGCTTTCAGGGAATTACCCTTTTACCTTTACTTCGATGTATGGGGCCCCTGCATTCTGTGGTTATAGACCAAGTCTGTCAGGGGTCACACCAAACATTGGCCCCAAATGACACAAGGGTTGTGAGTTACAAGGCATGTGGTCCTCATCTCTAGAGGGAACTCTGCAGACCTTTAGAGGGAACTAAATGGATGACACCACAGACCCCAATATGGGGCTTTTACATGGATCTGCATTTGGGTAATAAAGCATCTTCAAAGATCCTCACCCTCCAGGCAACCTTCACACCTATCCACTCCTCCTCCCTCTAAATAGCACATTTTTTTATTTATTTATTACCTTAAAAAAAGTGTTCGGGCCACCCCAAGGTTTATGTCGAAGATGGAGAAATAGTGGTCACCCCCTCCCTCTAGCTTCTAGTGTTAACTCACATTGGCCCCAAGAGACACAAAGGTTGTGAGTTACAAGATGTGGTCCTGACTAGGAAATTGTCACCATCGTGAGGCTGGTCAACCACACAGTACTTCTCTTGCTTATCACTAGTTTTCCAACCCATCTGCTTTGCTTACTTTCTGGGTAAAGGCCACCCTACGAGCCACAGGATTTAAGAGACTCAGAACACCTTCTTCTTGAGCGTCATTTTCAACATGGGTCCTTTCCCCATCACTGGCCAGGTCCAGGACCACCAAACAGTACACCCTCAGTAGAGTTCTCCAGTTTTCTTGGGGGACCCATAGAGAAGGTGTATGTGGCGTTCCCTCAAAGGGGAAGGCTGTTTCACAAAAAGTTCATATTTTCCCTGTTGAGGCCCTAATTCTCTCAAGAAGGCCTCTCACTTTCCTAAATATTCTCCTTCTCCATGACACCACCCCTCCTTACTATTTTTTACTCTTAACTGAAAGGGCAGTGGAGACCTCTAGAGGGTAATAAATAGATGAAACCCCAGACCCCAATATGGGGCTTTTACATGGATCTGCATTTGGGTAATAAAGCATCTTCAAAGATCCTCACCCTCCAGGCAACCTTCACACCTATCCACTCCTCCTCCCTCTAAATAGCACATTTTTTATTTATTTATTACCTTAAAAAAAAAAAGTGTTCGGGCCACCCCAAGGTGCATGTCATTCGCCCAGGCGAAGATGGAGAAATAGTGGCCACCTCCTCCCTCTAGACACAAAGGTTGTGAGTTACAAGACATGTGGTCCAGACTAGGAAATTGTCACCAACGCGAGGTTGGTCAACCATACAGTACTTCTCTTGCTTACCACCAGTTTTCCAACCCATCTACTTTGCTTACTTTCCAGGTAAATGCCACCCTACGGGCCACAGGATTTAAGAGACTCAGAACACCTTCTTCTTGAATGTCATTTTCAACATAGGTCTTTTCCTCGTCACTGGTCAAGTCCAGGACCATGAAACCTGTACACCCTCAGCAGAGTTCTCCTGTTTTCCATGGGGACCCATAGAGAAGGTGTATGTGGCGTTCCCTCAAAGGGGAAGGCTGTTTCACAGAAAGTTCACATTTTCTCTGTTGAGGCCCTAATTCTCTCAAGAAGGCCTCTCACTTTCCTAAATACTCTCCTTCTCCATAACACCACCCCCCTCCTTACTATTTATACTCTTAACTAGAAGGGCAGTGGGGACCTCTAGAGGGTAATAAATAGATGACACCCCAGACCCCAATATGGGGCTTTTACATGGATCTGCATTTGGGTATTAAAGCATCTTCAAAGATTAAAGTGGATCCTCACCCTCCAGCCAACCTTCACATCCATCCACTCCTCCTCCCTCTAAATAGCAGTTTTTATTTATTTATTTATTATTATTTATGAAGATGGAGAAATAGTGGTCACCCCCCCTCCTCCTAGCTTCTAGTGTTAACTCACCAAAAGGTCTGGTTTACTCTGTTCATCTCCTCTACAGCAGATAGCACACATGGCATACCCACTGCAATCCTTTTTTAGGGGGAAAAAAGGCAAGCACCCTTCTGTGGAAGCCCATAGGGACCAAAGTTTACTCTACCAAAGCTGCACTTGGACGGGTTGGATAACATTTAGCAGCTGGGGGTAAATCCCGTTGGATTTAGCGCTTTGTTTCTGACAAAAGCATAGTTCCAGTTTAACCTATTGGCTCTGCATTTATCCAATGAGACATTTTACATTTTCCAAAGCAATAGAGTATGGCGACACATACCGTGATTTGGTTACCGTATGACAGTATGTGCAGCGCCCCCTATTAGCCATCCAAGGAACATCCACGATAAGTTGTATTGGGAACTGTGTCTTGAAGATGCTCCATTCGGTGGATTAGGTTCTGCAAAAATAAATCAACAGTATATATATGGACAGATTCTCAATGGTTAAGTCGTGCATAGAAATGTATAAATACATTGCGTGAATATAAGAGGACTTTAAAGGGAACCTACCAAGGTTTTGAGTCAAAAATATTCAATTATTGATTTATTTTTTTTACTTTAAAAACTACATGTTTTAGAAATGATCAGTTATATATTTGCTTTAAATATATAAATACTGTTTTCATTTCACAGATAAACTTACTTTTACAACAGATAAAATACATGACAGCGGATTCCCAGACACAGCATAATGGAAACTCCCTGCCTTCAGGCTGGCATTGTCTGATTGAAACCTCAGCAAGAACTGTTTAATATAGGAGGCACTGCTATGACATTTTCATGTGTGTAGGTATACATTTCAGCTTTAAGTGGGTCAAAAACCAGTTTTCTTTGTTTGGGACAGAGTTTAGAGAGGTTAGAACCCCTGTCGGTTTTTTTTTGTCTCTTTAATAGGGAGTTCTGACTAAAAAGGAATTGCATACTTTTCTTTCACTCTTCTGAGGAGGAATAGTATAGAGCAGCTTTTCTTAACCTTTTTACCCAAAAAGAACCCTTGCAATAATTTTCAGGTCTCAGGGAACCCCCACTGAGATTATTCCATTGGGGGTCATTAGGAAAATTCCCCTTACATTGGTGGTGGTCAGAGGAAAGCATGTTCCCCTTACAGTGGTGGCCAGAATTCAATCCTTACAGTCATGCCTCTGGCTCTGCCAAGTGGTGTTGAACCCAGTGGTGTATTTAGGTCTTGTGCTGCCCTAGGCAACACAAAAATCATCCACCTTCCACCAACATAGCACCCCACCTGCCAGGAGAGCCTGACACCAACCAACACCACAGCACTCCCCTTTCCCGCCCGAGAGAGCCTTCCGCTAAAATCGGCAAATGCCTTATTTGCCTTGCGGTAAATGCGCCCCTGGTTGGACCCAGAACTATGCAGGCACCATCACATGGGATGTCACTCAGCCACAGCTCAAGGGACCCCTGGCCACCTCTGGGGCAACCTTGGTTGAGAATGGCTGGTATAGAATGCCACTTGACTGACAACTCTGAGTCTGCTGGGGCAGCTGACGTCACATCCAAGATGGCGGTGCCAAGCAATAGTCTTAGGGATGGCTACAAAAGGGAGGCTTTCACAAGTAAACAACGTGCCTAAGATATGATAAATACACATATAATCTTAAAGGAATATTTTTGTTGAAATTAATGTGCTGGAGTTAGGGCCACACCATGAAGGGAGAGAGGTGGTGCAATCAAAGTGCAGCAAGTTTGGAACATTAATTCACATATAAAAATGGCAATTCATGGAAGTGACGTCGGCCTTCCCCTTCCTGGTGTACCCGTGACTGTAGGAAACGATGGGAGCCACCTTAGGCATCGGATCCACACCTAAGTTCGCAGCCAGCACTCCGGACCACGGCGGATTGACTTTATAGGACGAGCGCTCTTTTATCATCTATCCTTTGAGTTGCCATTTTTATATGTGAATCAATATTTCTAACTTGCTGCACTTAGATGGCTCTGCCTCTCTCTCCCCTCATCTTCCCACAGAGTCTCTTCTAGCTGGATTAAAGCTGGCAGCCTCCAAGTAAAGCCTACCCCATTTGGACTTACAGTTATGTTCAAAATAATAGCAGTCAGACATCACTAACCGGATCAATCACTGTTTTTGGTGGAAATGATATTTCTACATGGCAAATAATTTCCTAGCAGGTGTAGTAGAGTCATAGAAATCCAACAGACCCAACAGTCATGACATGCATGCTGCTGATTCTGTGTCATTGAATCACTCATTGAAAGGGGCGTGTTCAATATAATAGCAGTGTGGAGTTCTATTAGTGAGGTCATTTATTCTTTGAAAAACAGGTGGCAATTATTGCCCTTATTTAAGGAAGGAAGGCAGCAAATGTTGGACATGCTGGTTACAGTGCATTTCTCTCTGAAATTCTGCGGAAAATGGGTCGTTCCAGACATTGCTCAGAAGAACAGCGTGCCTTGATTAAAAAGTTGATTGGAGAGGGGAAAACATATAAAGAAGTGCAGAAAATGATCGGCTGCTCAGCTAAAATGATCGCAAATGCTTTAAAATGACAACCAAAACCTGAAAGACGTGGAAGAAAGCGAAAAACTACCATTGGAATGGATAGAAGAATAGCCAAAATGGGGCGGACTCAGCCAACAATCAGCTCCAGGAAGATGAAAGAAGGTGTGACGTTCCCTGTGAGGACTGTTACAATTAGAAGACGCCTATGTGAAGCCAAGCTATCTGCAAGAAGTCCCCGCAAAGTCCCACTGTTGGGAAAAAGACGTGTGCTGAAGAGGTTACAATCTGCCAAAGAGCACATTGACCGGCCTAAAGAGAAATGGTGCAACATTTTGTGGGCTGATGAAAGTAAGATTGTTCTTTTTGGGTCTAGTGGGCGGAGACAGTTTGTCAGACGACCCCCAAACACTGAATTCAAGCCACAGTACACTGTGAAGACAGTGAAGCATGGTGGTGCTAGCATCGTGATATGGGGATGTCTCTCATACTACTCGGTGTTGGGCTTATTTATCGCATACCAGGGATCATGGATCAGTTTGAATCCATCAGAATACTTGAAGAGGTCATGCTGCCTTATGCTGAAGAGGAAATGCCCTTGAAATGGGTGTTCCAACAAGACAACGACCCCAAACACACCAGTAAACGTGCAACATCTTGGTTCCAGACCAACAAGATGGACGTTATGGAGTGGCCAGCCCAATCCCCGGATCTTAATCCAATAGAAAACTTGTGGGGTGACATCAAAAATGCCGTTTCTGAGGCAAAACCAAGAAATAGAGAACTGTGGAATGTGGTCCAATCATCCTGGGCTGGAATACCTGATCACAGGGGCCAGAAGTTGGGGGACTCCATGCAACACAGATGTACAGCAGTTCTCAGAAACAGTGCGACTACAACCAAATATTCATGAAGTCATTCAAAGGAAAGCAAAATCTTCAAACATTTTCAGTTTATATAGTGAATGTTTGAGTTTGTAAAGAAGAATACAAACACTGCGATTTTTTTGAACAATCTAATATTCACTTTTCTTCCATTTTTTTAGAGGAACAACACAAACTTGATATATTTTTCTTCATGTTTTGATTTGGAATAGAATGTGTCGTGTTCCCAATGCATTTGTGTGGATGGAAATAAAAGCTATTAGAAGGATTTTGAGCTTTATTCACTTTTTTCAACACACTGCTATTATTTTGAACACAACTATATATATGGACTAACAATTGTACAATACAGGAATCCCTCCCTTTTCTACCAGGCTGCCCCACTTGGTTGGTCCCCAGCTAGTGATACATTATTGCAGCGGCCACTCCAGCCTCTCTCGAGTGTGGCAAAATACTCCATCGTTTGGTCACCCAGTGCTAAAAAAGGATCACATGGGGTTTCTAGTGCTCTAGGGTGCATTGGCAGCCCATTCTAAATGAACGGGCTGTTTTAACGCAACATACTTTAACATGTGGCGTAACACAACACAAAGGTATGAATCTGAACTAAAAATGGAACACAACTTTTTTGGGGGGGGGGCAGAATGAGGAAAGGATGGAACCACGGCTGTCTGGGTCCTCATTGAGGGGGTTTGCTTACACTGCCATTCTTATCGGGACAAAACAAAGTCCCAAAAGTTGACAGTGGTCAAGGCAAGGGTCTCCTAGCTGGGACACCTATTCCAATGACACGTGTTGTGGCTCTGGCACAAGAATTGTTGAATAATTCTTCCCAACTGGCACAACAGTGAAGGAAAACCTAATTGAAGGTCTCTGCTGAAAACCCAGAATATTATGGATATGTAATACTTGCACCCTGCTCAGACTCTGCATTGTAATCACTCACCAGTAACAAAGAGATTGAAATTGTGACCTCCGGTGCTTCCATTCACCAGGCGTATGTTTGCTCGATACATGCCTTGGTCTTCCATCTTTAGTTGAATCATGAACAAGGAGCCATCCTTTAATGCATGTAGCCTTCCTGTATATCGTGTGTCTCGTATTACGATATCTTCATTTGGTTTAGTTGTAGCAAAATGGTTTCCACCAGCTGTGACCCATGTTATGTCCCGTTTCTGTCCCTCTTTGTCTAATTGTAGGGTCACGTTGTTTCCTTCTGGAACAGTGAAATTAGTGACTCCAGCATAGCATACGTCAAGGAGTATACCTAACAAATAAAAAAAAAAAATACAAGGCCGTATGTACGGTTGTTACTTGTAAATTTAGATGAGAAATACAACAAAGTCTGTTTTTCATGCAAATATATACATTCATATGCCATGCTGCCAAATGTTAGTTGACGCTTGACCATCGCACCTTGATGAGCTTGCTAGACATCCCATTTCAGAACCATGGCCATTATTATTGATCTGTCACTTCTTTGTGGCTTTAACATCCCCCACTCTTTTGGGAAGGTTTTCCACAAAATTTTGGAGGCTGTCTGTGGGCATTTTTGGTCCAATCAGCCAAGAGAACATTTCAGAGGCCAGGTGCCAATGTGGGATGAGAAGACCTGGTTTGCAATCAACATTCCAGTTCATGCCAAAGCAATTCAGTAGGGATGAAGACCACTTGAGTTCCTTCACAACATACTGGTCAAACCATGTCTTTATGGAGCTGGCCGCCATTTATGTTCACAAGCAGGGCTATGTCATGCAAAGACCAGCAATGTGGACCTACTTTGCTAGCAGCCAACAAGTGATGATGTTTGACTTTTATCCAGTTTGGGGGTCCAAGGAAAATTCCCTTGTACCCAGGGGCGGACTGACAACTCATGGAGCCCCTGGGCAATAGGAGATCATGGGGCCCCTGTGTCCTTGCCCAAACTCAAAAAAGCCTATGAAAAAGGTACCAGGGGCATCTCATGGGGCCCCCTACTGACCCCGGGCCCTCGGTCAGTGCCCGAGTTTCCAAATGGTCAGTCCGCCCCTGCTTGTACCCCTTTCCATCTTCTCGAGTACTAACACTAAAGTTGGCCGTACACTATACAATCAGATTACTCAATTTACCAAAAACTATGTAATATGAAGACAAAGCTCAATCTTTTTAATTTGTTTCCAAACAGGTAAACCCTTGCAGTACATAGTAGAAGAGATGGTACAATGGGATTGTATAGAGCAGCCTTTCTTGGCTTTTTTTTTTACCATGGGGGAACCCTTGGAAGGTCTTGGGGAACCCTTAGAAGGTCTCAGGGAACCCTTGCTAATATGAGGTCACCAAGGGTCAGTAGAAAGAATAAGAGTCTCTCAGCGCTCTCAGTTTGGTACATTAAAAAAAACATCAAATAAATGTTTAGATAGTACTTATTCCTACTGGTGGAACTGCAGAGTTGATGATGTAATGAAGTTCTGGCTCAGGATGGTGGATACAAGTATTCAGCAGCCTTTATAATAGTTCATATGGAATGAAGACCAGTGATGGATGAATGGATGGATAGATGAAAAGCTCAGATGAAATTCAATTGCTCGGCACATCAGATCCGGGAAGAATCCTCAATGGTGCACAGAAGACAACAAGGTAGCCAAAGTGCAGGAATGAGTAAAAACAATGTATCATCTATTAAACCAATATCCAAACTTACATTCAAGTAACAGAGGGGCTGCTTAGACGTAGAGGGAAATGACAGAGAGAATGGTGAGCAGACCGGCTAAAGCTGTCATCCACAGGAAACCAGACCCACCGCGTAAAGATGGAAAGCATCAGCATCAACAGCTGTCCTCAACAAACCCGGCATACACTAAGAAATGTGAAGGGGGCATGTATAACGCGTTTCAGAGGCCAAGCCTTCTTTGTTAAGGTACTTGAGAAAGGAGGACGGCCTCTGAAACATGTTATACATGCCCTCTTTGCGCATTTCCCGATGTATGCCCGGTTTGTTGAGGACGGCCGTTGATGCTTCTCCTTCCCATCTTTACACGGCGGGTCTGGGTACTTAAATGTAAGTGTGGATATTTGTTTCTTTATTAAATGATACGTTGTTTATACTAATTCCTGCGCTTTGGCTACCTTGTTGTCTTCTATATGTCAGTGGAAAGAATGCCTCTTACATTGGTGGCCATTGGGAAGGAACGGTACTCATTGAACACAAAATCAGATAGGAGGTGAATTAGACCCAGCTCAAGGGAGATCTAGCAATCTCTGGAGGAACTCTAGAGCTCCATGAAATCCTAGTTGAGTATGGCTGGTATAGGCAGGGCTGCTGTTAGAAACCATGGGGCCCCATACAGCTTCAGTTTACTGTTCTTAACTTATAAATGAACACAGTGAGTGATCGGTACCAATCACTCATTGTGTCATTCAGGAAAGAGAGGGTCTGGTAAATGTGACATATTTACTGGAACTTCTCCCGACTCTCCATCCTGAGGGGGGAAACGATTGGTGCACAGGGAGAATGATGGGTGCATGGGGGGCAATTACTGGAACCAATCCCTTGTATGGCCCTTTCCGCAGAAGCTGAAAGCCAGCGAGAATGAGAGGAGAAGAAGCCGGCTTTCAGCTGCTGCAAAAAGAGCCATACAGGGGATTGGTTCCATTAACTTCCCCTCCGCTGTGCTGATCACCCTCCCTGCCCACATCCAATTCACCTAGCTGCCCAGCCCTCCTTCTGGCCTGGGCCCCGTGCAGGAGAACTGGTGGTACCCCCTTATTCACGGCCATGGGAATAGGGTATGGCCGGATTAACACAACCACTAGCACAAAGATGAAACGGCAAGCTCAAGCAACGTTCCCTACTAGTGTCAGCAACCCAAGATATTATAGTGACCACCTAAGAAAATACTTACCGATTTGGAGATGAAGAAGGACCATCAACCGGAAGGAAAAGTCATTCATGTTTTTCCAAAAATATTTTCCACTTCGATGGGAAAAAAAAAGAAGAAAAACAAAACATTTGTAAGATGAATCAGGAGGCCCTGTCACAGGCACAAGAGGACATGCGATCCCTACGTCAGCCCTACAGCAAAGTCATTCATCACCAGCCCATCCCTATGGTATGGTAGATGCTGGAGAGTAATATTGCCCAGCAGGATCGTCGTGGTCATCTGAACCTCGGGGCAACCACAGCAACGCTACCACTACTGGGCTTGCATCGGCCACTAGGTCCTTGTGTGGATCTCTACCCCTACAGGCTACCCCTGGCTACATTTAGGGCGATAATGCCCTTTACAAATATTTTTTTCACCCCTACAGGCTTGGCCTGAATGCCTCTCGGGTCCTCAGGCTGGACTGCTCATGTTTGGCTGAGAAGTATACGCCTCTCATTGACTTCATATAGAAAGAGTACATCTTTGCCCCCCGAAGAAGAGAAACTCGAAACGCATCGGAAAAATGACTACATTAGAACAATCTGCATCTGTGTTGGTTTCCACTAGTTGGACCATGAAGTTTATGTAATTAACTGTATTATGTTTCCATGAGAATATTTTTTACCAAATCGGCCAAAGTTTTTGTTTTTAGATGTTTTCATCTCGTCATAATAAAAGTCTGATATTTAAAAATATATATATCTACTGTTTGTGGACAGCGGTAGCTGTAAAGTCCCATAGGACCAATATGGTTGCTTTCCTTTATAGATTTTAATGGGGATGTTGACGCCTTGGTCAGTTCATTCCTTGGCTTATTTTTACATAGGGAGGGGTGTTATTGTATACAGGGAGGGGGGGGGCAGTCTGTACAGGGAGGGGGATAGTCTGTACAGGGAGGGGCTAGTGTATACAGGGAGGGGAGCAGTCTGTACAGGGAGGGGGGCAGTGTCAGGGCCCCGGGTATGACCAGGAGGTGTGTCTGGACTGACACAGGGAAACGCAGGCTTCAGATATAGTACAATATAGACTAAACAATACATAAATGCAGTGCAAAACTAAACATAAACACAGTGAAAACAAACCAAACCCCCCAACAGATAACAAAAGAACAATACTAAGCGTAGTCGGACGGGCCGGTCAGTAACAATCAGGCAGACAAGGTACCAAAGGAGCAGACTGGAGAGTGGTCAGGAATAGCAGAGGTCAGGACAGGCGGAGTTCAATCAGAGTCAGGGATCAAGCAGGATCAGACAGGAAGCAGACAGGATGCAGGTACAGGGAGGGGAAACATACACCAAGGCTGATTGCAAGGGCCATTCTTTATATGCACCTCTGCAATCAGCCTCAGGTGTTTTGGCTGAGTTCAGGAGTGAGCCTCTGGTTGCTGGGGCACCCACTGGCCAGTCCTGGTACAGGGCAGGTGAGTCCCAGTCACTATTGGCGAGTCCATTCCTGACAGGCAGTCTGTACAGGGAGGGGAGCAGTCTGTACAGGGAGGGAGGCAGTCTGTACAGGGAGGGGAGCAGTCTGTACAGGGAGGGGAGCAGTCTGTACAGGGAGGGAAGCAGTCTGTACAGGGAGGGAGGCAGTCTGTACAGGGAGGGGAAGCAGTCTGTACAGGGAAGGAAGCAGTCTGTACAGGGAGGTCTGTACAGGGAGGGGAGACATTTGTACAGGGAGGGGGTAGTGTATACAGGGAGGGAGGCAGTCTGTACAGGGAGGGGGTCTGTAAACAGGGAGGGGAGCAGTCTGTACAGGGAGGGAAGCAGTCTGTACAGGGAGGGGGTAGTGTATACAGGGAGGGGGCAGTCTGTACAGGGAGGGGGGTAGTGTATACAGGGGGGAAGCAGTCTGTACAGGGAGGGGGTAGTGTATACAGGGAGGGAGGCAGTCTGTACAGGGAGGGAAGCAGTCTGTACAGGGAGGGGAGCAGTCTGTACAGGGAGGGGAGGCAGTCTGTACAGGGAGGGGGGAAGTCTGTACAGGGAGGGGGTAGTGTATACAGGGAGGGAGGCAGTCTGTACAGGGAGGGGGTAGTGTATACAGGAGGGGAGCCGTCTGTACAGGAGGGAAGCAGTCTGTACAGGGAGGGGGGGAGTCAGTCTGTAAACAGGGAGGGGAGCAGTCTGTACAGGGAGGGGAGCAGTCTGTACAGGGAGGGGGGGGCAGTCTGTACAGGGAGGGGCTAGTGTATACAGGGAGGGGGTAGTCAGCACAGGGACAGGTGCAGTCTGTACAGGGAGGGGACAGTTTGTACAGGGAGGGGTAATATATACAGGGAGGAGGACAGTCTGTACAGGGAGGGGGCAGTTTGTACAGGGAGGGGTAATATATACAGGGAGGAGGACAGTCTGTACAAGGAGGGGGGGCAGTTTGTACAGGGAGGTGGGGGCAGTTTGTACAGGGAGGGGGAGTAGTCTGTACAGGGAGTGGGGGCAGTCTGTACAGGAGGGGTAGTACATACAGGGAGGAGGACAGTCTGTACAAGGAGGGGGGGCAGTCTGTACAGGGAGGTGGGGGCAGTCTGTACAGGGAGGTGGGGGCAGTTTGTACAGGGAGGTGGGGGCAGTTTGTACAGGGAGGGGGAGTAGTCTGTACAGGGAGGGGGAGTAGTCTGTACAGGGAGGGGGGGGCAGTCTGTACAGGGAGGTGGGGACAGTTTGTACAGGAGGGGTAGTATATACAGGGAGGAGGACAGTCTGTACAGGGAGGTGGGGGCAGTTTGTACAGGGAGGGGGAGTAGTCTGTACAGGGAGGTGGGGGCAGTAGTTGTACAGGGAGGGGGAGTAGTCTGTACAGGGAGGGGGGCAATGTGTATCTATCTTTCTAGAATCTCTTTACAGACACAGATATATGATCCCTCTCAGTACATGAAATGTCTGTGAAGCCCTCCCTCCCTCCATGGATCTGTGGTTGGATTGTCTCTAGAGAAGACCTCATGCTCCCCCCCCCCTCTATGATATGAGGATGGACTCTTGATCTCTATAGAAGAAGGATCTGGCCACCACTGGTCTCTTGGTGGACTTACATTCTCTTGGTTGGCCTTCTCCTATACCTTCATTTTGGAGTTCATCACATGCGCCTCTCTCCTTCCTGCTGATGACGTAATACAGAGTGGGGGGGGGGGAGTTTGTTAACCCTTTAGTCTCAGAGCCATCCCTCTCCCTCTCTATCATCCTCTCTCAATCCCATTGACTTTAAAGGGAGCGCACTACAACCGTGATCCAAGCGTCCCGCTCGCAATTGCGCAGTGCGATTTTTTTTTCGCAGTGCGAAAGAAGCCTTAAAAATGATTCTGTTGGAGAAAAACTTTAAGTTCAGTTCCTTCAAATCTTCCTGTCAATGCGATCAAAAATGAACGCAGAATTGCACCGCAACGCAAAAATCGAATGAATGTTCTCAAAATTAAACAAAAATTTGCACAAAATTCTACTAGTGTATGGCCAGCTTGGTGGGGCTGTAAGGTAGAACTAAAGGCGATTTATTTATTTTTTTTCATTTTTGGATACGGCAAAGCCAACCATGAGCTTGTAGATTTTCGAATGAATGTTCGTACAAAAAAATGTCTATGAAAATTCTCAGTGCATTGGGTGAGATAAAATTTTGTTGGCTTTTATCAATCGATTTTTGGAGAGAAAGAACGAAAACCGCATACACGGTTAGAAAATCGTTCAAGCATAATTTTCTCGCTCCTTTGAATTTTCTGGTCAATGTGATCGAAATTGAATGTACAATCTGACCCCACTGACACCCAGAGAATCGAACGAGTGTTCTTAAAACAAAAACGTAACCAAAAGGATGGTTACAATCCATGCGGTCAGCCAGGAGCTGCTGACACTTCCTACCGATTTAAAATAGCTCTGGGACAGGGGCGGACTGACCATTCAGGCACTCGGGCACTGCCCGAGGGCCCGGGGTCATTATAGGGCCCCATGAGATGCCCCTGGTACCTTTCACAGGCTTTTGTGGGTGTGGTTTGAGTGTGGGTGAGGACACAGGGGTCCCATGATCTTCTATTGCCCGGGGGCCCCATGAGTTGTCAGTCCGCCCCTGCTCTGGGGCGAATGGACACTAAAACAGAGCGGTTCTACAGTGACACCTGAACTGGAGGGGTTAGAGGAGAATTACACTGAAAATATATTTAGGCTGGTAGGGCTGGATTATCATTCTGTAAATGCAAAAGCGCCAACCATCATTGGTGTCAGTGGGAGGAATAGTGCCTCATCATTGGTGTCAGTGGGAGGAATAGTGCCCCATCATTGGTGTCAGTGGGAGGAATAGTGCCCCATCATTGGTGTCAGTGGGAGGCATAGTGTCTCATCATTGGTATCAGTGGGAGGAATAGTGCCCCATCATTGGTGTCAGTGGGAGGAATAGTGCCCCATCATTGGTGTCAGTGGGAGGAATAGTGCCCCATCATTGGTATCAGTGGGAGGAATAGTGCCTCCTAGATTGTAAGCTCGTAAGAGTAGGGCCCTCTTACCCCTACGTTATTTGTTGTTGTTGTACTGTGCCATGTATTGTCCCCCCTATTGTACAGCGCTGAACAAACCCTTTGGCGCTATATAAACTCGTAGTAATAATAATAATAATAATCATTGGTGTCAGTGGGAGGAATAGTGCCCCATCATTGGTGTCAGTGAGAGGAATAGTGCCCCATCATTGGTGTCAGTGAGAGGAATAGTGCCCCATCATTGGTGTCAGTGGGAGGAACAGTGCCCCATCATTGGTGTCAGTGGGAGGAATAGTGCCCCATCATTGGTGTCAGTGAGAGGAATAGTGCCCCATCATTGGTGTCAGTGAGAGGAATAGTGCCCCATCATTGGTATCAGTGGGAGGAATAGTGCCCCATCATTGGAGTCAGTGGGAGGAATAGTGCCCCATCATTGGTATCAGTGGGAGGAATAGTGCCCCATCATTGGTGTCAGTGGGAGGAATAGTGTCCCATCATTGGTGTCAGTAGGAGGAATAGTGTCCCATCATTGGTGTCAGTAGGAGGAATAGTGCCCCATCATTGATGTCAGTGGG